CCCTGAGCCTGCCCCGTCTGCGGGGACCTGGGGCTCAGCCACGCTCGGGGGCCCTGGCGCAGCAGCCGCCCGCCTGCCCTCTTGCTCAAAGTCTTGTAATCCTCTTTCTCCCTCTGAACAAAGCTGAGAGCAGAGTGCTAAAGTCCATGGGCAGAGGGATTAAAGCCCTGGTCCTGGTGAGGAGGGGGTGCAAGTGTGTGTCCTCGAGGGGCGGGAGGGTGTCGGGGTGGCAGGCGAGTCCTTTGCTCCCGGCCGGGGTGGGGGGCAGCATCCTTGCCATCATCGAGCTGCCTCCCCTGCTGCTAATGCACTGTTTTCTATTTTTAGGATCATTTAAATTTTTATTGTACAGCCAGCAGCCTTGGAAATCTGATCCTTTCTATTAAGTGTGAGGAGGCAGATGGCACAGAATATTTAAGGATTATACTCAGGTATGGAAAAAAGAAGAAAAAAGCTTTGTTTAACAAAATACTTTCTCTCTGGGAGTCCCTTGTTTTGTTTCTACGGTAAATGCTAGAGCCAGGCTGGCAGCACGCAGGCTGTCGCATACGGAGGGGCTCGGGGTGGGATGGGAGGCAGCGGCATCATCCTTTTGCTGTTTCTGCGCTGGGACTGCCTGACCCCCGATAATGAACACGAGACTTTGATCCGTTGCTAAGCCCGCTGAAACTGAGTGTAAACCTCTCCGTGACACAGGATAATACCCGTCACATCTATCGCCATCCCTCTGTAAGCTGACAAGACGCAGCGTGTCTGAACCATTGTGTCATTTCCCTCCAAACTATGAATATTTTAAGAGCTGCAAAGAAAAGAAGACAAATCAAGCCTTTGCTTACTAACCAGGCCCAACAAATTCAGTAGAACATCGTTTCCCAACAGCCGGTGGAGCATCGCTGCTTGCACGCTACAGGGCTGGCGAGCGGGGGGCTTGCAGCCAGTGTCTCTTTGCCTTAGACACTCCCTGATGTCTGCTCATTTCTTTTCCTTTGCTAGGTCCAAAGTGAAGACGTTGCATGAAAGGATCCCCCTGGCAGGATTTAGCAAGCTCCCTAGTATCCCCCAGATTGCAAAGGTAAAATGCCAGGCTGGGATGGGATACCTGCAGCAAAGCCTACGCCGCTGCGCCTTGGGCAGCGTTGGGCGGCGTTGGGCAGCAGTGCCTGGGCTCTCGGGTCCAGGGGCACTTGGCGGGTGGTGGTATGCACTGGCCCCGCTGTTGGTTCCCTGCTGATCCCAGGCAGGTCACTGGTTGTCACTGGTATCTGGGGGAAGAGGTGAGGAAGTGGCAGCACCTTTCACCCATGGAGAGACCTGGGACTTGTCTTGCTGCATCCTCAGTCGGGTACCAGCCAGGCCATGGGGCATCCCAATGGGAGGATGCAAAGAGGGGAGCTCCTGCAATTGGCGGCTGGATTTGGCTCCTTTATAAGACATTCCTAGCCTTGCTGTGGAGTTTCGGCAGGACAGGGGTGCCTGCTCTGTGCTCCCAGGGACCCAGCACTGACTGCTCTTTCCTCTTGCCCACAGGCCTTCTGTGACGACGCCTCCGGGCTGAAGTTTAACCCGGTTCTGTACCCCAAGGTGAGGTAACTTACCCCAAGTCGGTCGCGTATTTGGCAGAGAAGGTCGGATAGAGTTAATTCTCCCCTTTTCTCCAAGATCCAACGGCTACTTTGATACAGAGCACGGATGTTTGTACTGCATCTTTCTAGCTCTCTACCTTTGTAGCTGCCTGCAAAGGGGATGTGAGCAGTGCAGCGGTGGCGTGCCGTGCTTGCGTCTGGGCAGCAAGTTAGCTAATGGCCATCTGATGGCATGTGAATGCCACCATCTCATTCTGTCAACTGGCCACCAAGGATTGATGGCACTTTGGTATTAATCTGCCCTCAGATTATGGTGAAGGAAGGAAAGGTGACCATCTGTGGGGTGTGAAACCTACCTGGTTCTTGGTTTGATGCCTTAAGGTTTGCTTGAAACCTGGTGAGACAGGTTGAGCCTGTGCTTGGGAAGCCATGCAGGAAGAGATGCAGAGGCGGGTGGGTCACTGCGGGGGATGGAGTGTTTTATCTAGGTGGCAGTCCCCACTGGTGATGTACTGGGACTGACTCATTACCCACTCCAGGATCGCTTCTCCTCCTGTGTGCTCTTGTGCTACCATAGAGACCCGCTCCTGGGAAGTTACAAAGCAAAGCAAATCCGTCATTTTCAAGTACCTTTTATGTGGGAGACCTTCTCTGTGGCAGGCACAGCAGTAAGTTATAAGGCAGTTTCATCACCCTTTGATGTAGCCAGGGTCAAACCGATTTCGTTCATCTCGTTATTATTGATGTTGCTATCAAACCCTTGTCTGGAAGTTTGAGAACAGCTGATGTCCAATTGGGGAAGATGAACGTCTCTGACAGGGTCCCCACAGAGCAAGGCTGGGACCGTGGAGCTGGGGTGCTGCAAGAACTGCCGTTATCTGCACCCAAAGGGCCCCAAACTTCCCCCGGAAAACCTGTGAGAGGTCGGGGCTCCCCATGCCCCCCACCATGCCTGAGCACAGGGGCCGCAGCTCGTGCCCACCCAAAGCCCATGGGCATCCAGGTGGACTGTCTTATGGCGTAGGCTGCAGGGACACTGCTATCCAAAACCAGGGCCACTGTTGAAAACTTTTGTCCTATTTATGTGGAAATTTGGCTTCTGTCCCCTTCCCACTCCCTCGGGTGCTGCCCCGCCATTGCTGTACCCCGCTGCAGCTCCGGCGGGCTCTTGCCCCCTGCCCGCTGTGAGGAGGTGAACCACAGGCAATGGCAAGCGCGCCAAGTGGAGCTGTGAGCCTGGCCAGCAACGTGCGCCGAGCAAGGTTTGCTCTTCTGGACGTCGTGTTTTGAACTACCGAATGAAATAATTCGTGTTTTGTTTTACTGCAGGCGTCCCAGATGATAGTGTCTTACGATGAACATGAGGTCAACAACACATTCAAGTTTGGTGTGATCTATCAGAAGTTCAGGCAGGTGAGTAGTCCCCGTGCTGTTCTCGTGGAGCACATCCCTGCTTGCCAGAGCTCTGCGTTTCATAAGCGTGGGACCCCTGAAGCTGAAATTCATCCCTGTGGTTAATTCTGTCGCGTGCAACACGTTGTGTTACTGGGTGTCCTCGCTAATAATGCATTTCTTATTGCTCGGATGTTTCCCTGACTAAATAAAAAATGATGTGACTGAAAAAATT